CATTTATGCCTATTTTGTTCTGGTTAGGTTTTCATTTGATTCTTCTTTATTCCATTCCTTGTATTGTATGCAATATGTAAATGGCAACTGAATAACCAACGTAAATTGGCCAAAGGTCTGTTTCTTTGAAAATTTTTATTGGCTTTTCCCAGCAGTACTGGGAAAAGCCATTGTTTTCGTTCTGATTTTTTCTTCTTTTTTCTTGCATATATTTTTCCTATCTTTTTGCACTGTGTTTTTTCTGGCCGACACTTTGGTCACTTCCTTAGAATTTTCCGTGTTTTTCCCAAGCATAAGCCATATATCAAGGATGTGCCTCATAATATTTAGAGTCATTTAGTGTGTTAGTGATGATCCAGTGAAAGGTGTAAATTTGAGGGTCTTTTCAATTTTTGATGACCCAGACTTAAATATCTCTTTAAAAAAACCAATGAGTCTAAATGAAATATTTAATAATACTTTGTAAAGGTTTTGTAAAAAAGTATTAAATTTTTGCGACGATCCGCAGTATGTTGTGAATCTGAGGACCATTTAAAGGAAAACGTCCCAGACTACATATTTCGAAAACGGATCAACTGATCTGAATGAAACATTCAGAAAAAGTTTAACCAAGTTACAAGGAAGAAATGTGCTGGCGTCGAATCAGTCAAGGGTGTAAATTGGAGGACCATTTCAATTTTTGAGGTTCCAGACCTCTTTAAAAAATGAATGGGTATAATTTAAACCTTGTATGAAACAGTTTGTCAAGGTCGAGTAAAGAAGTGATTAAATTTTTGTGACGATCAAGAGTAGGGTGTAGATCTGAGGACCATTGAAAGGAAAACTTCCCAGACAACATATTTTGAAAACGAATCAACTGATCTGAATGAAACATTCGGAAAAAAGTTTAACTAAGTTACAAGGAAGATGTTGGCGACGAATCAGTTAAGGGTATTGGAGGGTCAATTAACTTTTTTGAGATCCCAGACGTAAATATGTATAAAAAGTTTGTAATGGGTGTAAATGAAACTTTCTATAATAGTATGTAAAGGTCCAATAAGGTGTGAATATGATGGTGTGAATATGAGGACCATTTAAAGGAAAACGTCCCAGACCAGATATTTAAAAAACAGGTCAACTGATCCGAATTAAACTTTCGGGAAAGTTTAACACAAGTTACAAGATAGATATTATTATGTGTAGGGGACGATCCAGGTTAGGGTGTAAATTTGAGAGTCATTTAAATTGCTTACGTCCCAGATATAAATGGATAAAAATTACACTTTGCAGAATAGTTTTTCATGTTGAAATGAAGAAATGATCCAATTTTGGTAACCATCCGCAGTAGGGTGTGGATATGAGGATCATTTAAAGATTTTTTGTTGACAGTTGATTAAATTATTTAAACGCAATTTGCGTGTTCTAAAGCGCTTAAACGAGTTACAGCTATAGGTTAAACTAAAACTAAAGTGCTATGCATGAACAATTTTTGCTTTCAGTCATTGAATCGCTATGAACTGAAAATGCCCTTTCCTATGCAAGGTCGGCTCATATGGCGCGCAATGGTTATGAATCACGATGTACCTCGCTATTACCATTGCAGCCATAGTTCAAGTCGAACTAATAACGTCGCAGTGAACTTGGTTTTCGGTTTTTTTACTTTATTTTTTCCACTTTATTAAAATTATATTGGTTTTCCGTGTTTTTTTTTTTTTACTTTATACCTTTTAACTATTTTTCTTTTTGTTGCAATTTCAACTTCATTTCTCATTAAAACAATGGAGAAAAGCCCTATGTTCTGTCGTTCAAAAAGACATAGTAAGTCTAGTTTTAGTTGATGTTATCACTGGTAGTTGTTGTTGTAGCTGATGTATTAGCAGCACCAACAGCAAAAGTACAGTGACAGCAGTAGCAGTAGGTGGTGGTGGAGTACTACTACTACTACTACTATTACTACCACTACTACTACTACTGCTACTAATAGTAGTAGCAGCAGCAGCAGCCACAGTAGCATCAGCAGTAGCAGTAATAGCAGGAGTATAGTCAGGCAAAGCATTTTGTATATACACTACTACACTAAATGTAGCAGAATGACAAAAACAACAATAACTGCGTTATAAATTTTATTTATATTTTTTATTCTTTAAACGATTCCTTAAGATAATGAAAACTTATTATTATAAGGTGTTATTTCGGAAATAAATTTAAACCACAAGTTCCCTGCATTGGCTTAATATAGACAGCGTTCAGCATACAACCAACATGTTAAAATGATTAAATGATTGATTGATTGATTGATTGATTGATATATTGGTTGATCGATTTATTGGTTTATTGACTGATTGATTGATTGATTGATTGATTGGTTAGTTTATTTGTTGATTGCTCAATTGATTAGTCTGTTAGTTGATATTATTTATTTTTGATTGATTGATTGGTTGGTTAGTTGACTGCTTGATTGATTGATTGATTGATTGATTGATTGATTGAATACTGTATGTTTTGATTGATTGATTGATTGATTGATTGATTGATTGATTGATTGATTGATTGATTGATTGATTGATTGATTGATTGATTGATTGATTGATTGATTGATTGATTGATTGATTGATTGATTGATTGATTGATTGATTGATTGATTGATTGATTGATTGATTGATGCAGTAGCAGTAATAGCAGGAGTATAGTCAGGAAAAGCATTTTGTATATACACTACAAAGAGTGACAAAAACAACAATAACTGCTTATAAATTTTATTTATATTTTTTATTCTTTAAACGATTCCTTAAGATAATGAAAACTTATTATTATAATAAGGTGTTATTTCGGAAATAAATTTAAACCACAAGTTCCCTGCATTGGCTTAATATAGACAGCGTTCAGCATACAACCAACATGTTAAAATGATTAAATGATTCATTGATTCATTGATTGATTGATTGATTGATTGATTGATATATTAATTGATCGATTTATTGGTTTATTGACTGATTGATTGATTGGTTAGTTTAATTGTTGATTGCTCAATTGATTAGTCTGTTGGTTGTTATTATTGATTTTTGATTGATTGATTGGTTGGTTAGTTGACTGCTTGATTGATTGATTGATTGATTGATTGATTGATTGATTGATTGATTGAATACTGTATGTTTTATTTTTAAACTAAGAATCCAAGCTACTAGTATACATGACCAAGTGAGTATATGAAGCGACGCTTTAGAAACCAAAGTCTCATTATGAGGCTTGTTAAGTTGAATTATAACCAATACTCTGAAGACAATCACCTTACCTTCCAAGCAATGCTTCCACAATTATAATTCATAGGATTTGGGAATAAAGTTTATCCAAATAATAAAAATAATAATATATATATATATATATTCTCAACGAAAACAAGTTTACTTTTATATGCAAATAATTATAGTGCTACTAAAAATTATAAGGATACAATAGTAATTATAATATAATTCTTTTATTAATACCTGATGAAAAATATGATAATAATAATAATAATAATAATGATAATAACCGTATTATTTATTATTACTATATTTAAAGTAATACATTATATTAAAGATAATAAAAGTAGTTATAGTAATAATAAAATAATATTAATTATGATAATAATATATTAATGACGTTTACAAGTAAATATGATAAAATTAATAAATTGTAAAAAAAATACTTATAATAATGTAATAATAAAAAGGATGATACAGTAATACTTTTTAATGGAAAACTATTAATAATTTATTAGTAACATAGGGTTTATAAAGCGTTGTTGCCCACATCCAGCGCAATATTCAAGGTTACCAGATTTTAATGGTTAACCTTGTTGAGTCAAAACATAGAATATAATTAACATACTATATACAATAACTACAATAAATACTGTACAAATCATTTAAATTGTAATGCAAATGTTAAATTCAACCGGTAATGTGTTTAGATAAGCCTTACAATTAGTATTCATATAAATATTATAATTTACCATTTGTATTGACGTTTACCGTCATACATTTATCTACGTTAATACAAATTGAAATTGATATGATAAAAATGTCGCCTGTTACATAACTATCATATAAACAATAATATATGTCCTATAAATATAGGAAACATTTCGTTCGCCACAAAATACATGTATTTACATTTCTTTCAGAATACACCTTTAAATAACTATAGAATACATCAATTCCCCATTAATTACACCATTGTATTAACACAAATGAACCGTTCCACTAAGCTCCTGCCGTTGGATTTTGTTGCAAAGGTCCCACACACGTACGTTTGTGGGACAACGCGTGTGTCTATAGGAGACGCGTCTTCCTGGCCCTGTTCTGGTTTGACCGTTGTTAAGTTGTAATAGGCACTTTACACAAGAGGACGGGGAGGTGTCGACAACGGCAATTCGGGTTAAGTGCCCAAGTGTTTACTGTGGTCTTCATGCTGTGACGCTGTGAAGGCCCATTATTCAGGTTAATGTTTATTAAGAAAAAATAATTTAAATGTAGCAGCAATATCTTAAAATTAAGAGAGATACAGTAGCTTTGAAAGCAATTGAGTAAATTCTTGCATATCACTACACTGAAGCCGAGTCCAAACCATCAAATTTTATTTGATCATTTGATATGCCTAAATATGATCATGATAACATCACATCATGACCATGATGTGATCTAAATATCGTCATGATGACATCACATCATGACCATATATAGGCACATCATGACCATATATAGGCACATCATGACTATAAATGGGTTATAACAGTTTTTGTGGAGGAAAATTTGATACTTTTGACAGAGCCTAAGCTTCCTCCTTACTGCTTTGCTGTCTGTTTTACATAGCCATAAGGTATTTCAAATTTCTATATGTGACTAGAACTTTATAATAATTAAATCTATGACATAATGATAATATATATATATATATATATATATATATATATATATATATTATATATATTATATATGTGTGTGTGTGTTTGTATACACACACATACACACANNTTGGATACACAACCATAATTTATCAAATCCATTATTACTACGGCACTGTTTATTGTTTCTAGTTGCCAACAAGGGTAAAGACAATTTCATTCTATATTTGGTATCAAGTCAATTTCGAGTCCTACAAAGCAGATGTCTAGACACTGAACACGCATATAGATACTCTAGAAGTGCAGGCCTACTTATACGAAGAAATGAACAGTTTAATGCTATTGTTTTAAACATTATATTTGTAATTTGGATAACCTAGAAACGGCTGCAACAATAATACTGGTTTTTGTCAAAGAATCAAACTTGGGTTGACATAGTTTGCGTGATAATGTCCTGACCTTATTAATGCCACTTGGCAGTTAAAAGTATTTACGTTCATTTGAAAATCAATAATATAGCGTCCGCATGACACTTAGCGTCAGTAATTCATTAGGTTCAGCGAGCCAATAGCCCATACGTACCAGTCTTATTATACACATAACATCCCTTTCACAGTATTTGCTTTTGATGATGCGTCAGGTTGGGTGAAGTTAATTTTCAGGTAATGTACCGTGTATTAATTCCAAGGCGGTTTCATATTAATCAGAATCATTTGATTTGATATAACCTGTAGCCATACGAGAAATATGTGCGGTTTCTGTCGCGCCTCTGTTGAATAACTAAAAATATAAATCGCTAATGGAATATATATATTTCCCTCGTGTTTATTTCCCAACGTATTATTGATTAGTTGATCGATTGTTTATTCACATTATATAACACCAGACCTAGAATCTTCTTGCGGAGAGTCCAATTCTAACGGTATACAGCTAGCTGGTCTCTTCTTGGGACTAACAATCATCCTCGATATTTTAATTGTATGATGGGTTGGGCCTACACACTCGCCTTCCATACTCTTGCTCTTTTTATCAGGAGAGTTTGTTGAGCTAATATTTACAATGAGGTCCTGTACTCTGGGTGCATATTCATTGCAAGACTCTTTTGACGATTTGGTCATCCCATCACCATTACCATCGCATCCATCTATTGTAATCAGTTTTCCGTAGATTGAGAATTAATATGAAAGTACAAGAGAAATAATCTAAAATAGAACAATGTTTTCCCGTATACTTCTTTTACTTGGTACACTTGAAAGGAATAATTTAGAATGTTTTACACTAAATCACACATTCTGTGCTCTAGAATGGTGATACCTCTCTGCATAGCAATCTACTTTATTTTTAATTAAAGTAATGATCCTCAATCCATACCTTTGAGCGTATCAGACCCACAGGAGCGCGGAGCCATATCTATGTCGGGTGTCGAGGCGTGATCTTCTGACGTAGAAGAGGATAATGACGTTCTTTGATCTCGCCTGTTTTCCGTTCGCATAATTCTAATTCTGTGTTCTTCTTGGCTAAATGCAGGTATGGAGGCCATGTTGATGGCTTGACTCATGCTGTCTATGCTTGGTCGATGCTCGTTGGAAAAGCGTTTGGTTGGATACTCAATGTCGCTTAGATGTAACTCAACATCTGTTGCACCCTTGCTTCTCTCTATCGCATCTTTTATTGGTAAAAAATATATAATAAATCAAATCAATGATAACCAATAATATCAATATTATGAACAAAATTATGAATAAGCCTAATGTATAATACAAGTGTTGATTAATTGTTAATTGGATCGATTGCAATAGGGGTTGTAGGCTAAAGATAATGAAGTTTTCGGGATAGTGCTATGAATAAAATTTAATAAAATAATAGAAGAGGAAACCAAGAATGATTAAAATAACCAGCTCCATGTGAACTCGAACGGATACCTTTTGTGGACGGCGAATTCTATAACAAATACATTTTTCATCACTACTGACGATTTCATTCGATAGTAGACCTGTCACGCCAAAATTGGTCTGGGCCAAAAAAAGACAACATGTTTGCAGACTTATTATACATGCATAATTTGAATATCATATGGGTTAAGGCGCCTGCATAGACAGAAGAAGGTCCCGGCTTCGAATCCCGGTTAGGGCACCTATTTTTTTTACACGCGCAGATTCCTCTTTTTTAACGTCCAAACTTGATTTAGAATTTATCTCTATTATATCGTACTGTATATACATACATACATACATACATAGTATGTATGTATGCATGTATGATGGTATGGGTGTATATATATACATATACATGTTTATGTATGTATATAAGTAATAGTCTTGCCTTGAGCAGCCCTCTCTTTCCAGAGTCTACTGTTTTGTTTCAGCGGTGCCATCCATAATCGTGGCGCTTTATTTGGTATTGACATCTGCCGCATAGATGGCCGTACAATGTTAACCCGACCCTATAACAGTAGTGTTCAAATAAGCTCTGTTAGTATTATACATATGAAAACGTAACGGTGCACTAAAGATAATCTCAGCAATGCGTCGAGAAATCAAATAATCCATCGATTGATCGATATCAAATCAACCAATCAATGGTAAAGGTAAGGCGCTTATTAGCTTCATGTTCAAATCAGTCCAAACAACAGTGGCTAAAATGAACCTTAACCCCTCTTCCGAAAAATGCTAACGAGCAGCCAGATGTGCTCACTGGACCTCCAGTTTAATGTCCATGTCCGAGAATTGGTACTACCAACAAAGTCTGGGCGAGGATCGTCTTGAAGCAGCACCGATGTAAGGCAATAGGCACAGCGGTACCCCTGACTTACCGATCAGCCACTCGATTTCCTAAAAATGATAGGCCAAATAAAGACAACGAAAACTACTCAACAACTGCAACACGAACAATCAAAGAACAACAACAATAGTAACAACCATAACAATAATGACAATAATAATAGTAAAATAAACTAGCTCACTGGTGATGTAGATGGGCTGGTATCTTGTCGCGAAGTGTTGTCCGATTGTGTAGTATGTACAGGTACGGAGTTGTGTATAGCATTCTGTTCGCATTGTGCAATATCTTGTCCATTATCAGCCAACTCTTCCTTTAGTACCTTATCCATTAAGTCACTTAAAAGTACCATTGTTGGCTCAACGATGAAATCGATAAACCCTATAATAAAAATGATTGATGAAAATCAAGAAAGTTCTTAAGAAAATGATGTTGTCGTCCCTTGATAATCGAACCTTACTCTCTTTTTTTACAGTTGCCTTACCAACCTCGCAATATTAAATTAAATAGTAAATTGGCTATAAATTGGTTATAATTCATTCGTAAATTAAAAAACTTACAGGGAATGACGCCATCGCACTAAAGCCGTATGGACTATGGACGTGTGGAATTTGATAATCTCTTGGAAGGATAGATCAGAAAAGTTACCTTGTCAAGTTCTATAAAAGAAATCAGCATATGGAATATGTGCACCACGAGTCAGAAATGAGGCAGAATAGGTTACATTGTCTTATCAAGGAATTACTGAAAATATCGCCTTTTTACGCACATTGTAAAAATGAGGTGGACGGGAATGGTCACATTAGTCATGAACAAAATAGATGAAACTCTTCAATAAGAGGGGACCCTATATTTAAAAAAAAAAGGTAATAGTTTGAAAAACATGTTGTCTTCGCCCACAGCCAATATTTTTCGATCATGACTAGTTTAGATTACTATTCATTGTCCTATTAGTTATGCAGTGGTGAATTAACGACTTCGGGCAAACTTAATTCCAGATTTAGTATTTAAATATTATTACACAAAAGTCATCGTTTTAACATACTGATAGGCCATAAGCAGGGATAATTCATCAATTTGCCTGCATGATTATGTTGATAAAAACGAACATAGTCAGTATCACAACTTATATTACTTGGCAGTATGTATATTCAATATTCTTATACGGTACCGGTATAGATAGGGCCTATATGAGGTCCTTATTCTTTGAAGAATATAGAGAAAAGAGTTGTTAACATCCCATCATACTAATCCACTGAATTGTGTGATAACATTGTCAATGATCACCCCTCCCCATATCATATTGAATTACAAATCGATTGACGTTTACGCCACCAATAAATAATATACCTTAATTCTTTTTTTTTGTTGTCAGACAACAATGTTTTAAATTAAAAATATAAACGGCATACAATCACTTAATAAAAACGACAGAGACTCTTCCACATAAGGTACAATAACAATCAATATAACTTAGTCATGTAACTAAAAAATAGCGACTTACCGATTTGGGACTCAGCAATGAAAGTACTTCGCCTGTCGCACAAGGGCGAACATGGTTGTCCAAGCTCCATTTCTCGGTCACCCTAAAATTAATTTCAGTTAAAAAACTTAAACATTTCAAAATCTAATATAAAAAACAGTTCAGTTGATACTTTGCAGGCATGAGTGAATTAATCGATTATGATGATAAATGACATGGATTATTGCAAAATAACGCAATTTGATGGTTGGCGATAAGCCATTTACATAATTATCATTCAGCAATTCCTGGTACGGAATGCTTATGCGTACACATAATTCAAATGATGATTGATAACAAATCGCAGATACAGCATTTTTGGAACATACGATGTAATTGCACTTTGAGAATAACATTAATCATAATAATTACTAACTTAGTTGCCTAGTATGTTTATATATATACATACAAACGGCAATAGACCGATATGACTTCGTATTAGATTAATCCCTCCTACAAACCTGTAAGAAAAACTCTTGCATAAGTAGGCGTGTCCACTTATAATGCAGGTCCCAATGTTTGGCAGGATGGCTAATATCTGAGCAATGAAGCACCAGCGACAACGTTTTAGCTTTATCAACACTGTAAAGGTAAATTAAAAAAAAATCATACAGACATATACAGTATTGAATTCAGTAACCAGTCTTTGTTTAAAACATGTATTTTTTACTTTAAAAGTACTGCTCCAGACTTGTGCGGGCGAATATTACATGAAGTCGTGATACAACCGCTTTAATAATAATTGTTACTGACGTAATAATTAAATTCACAGAATCATTTACCTAACTAAGTCAATGACCTAGACATTCAAATTAAAGACATTTATCCATGCGCTTCTGCTCGATTGAAATAATGCATGTCATACAATTACATGCCTATATCTGAAAGGATTTAAGTTACTGCATTGTGAAAAGGACGAAGTACATAATGGTAATGAAATGAGTATGCATTCGCTTGATGCAGACGCATATTTCAATACTTATCATATATTATTCCAAATCAAACAAATGTTACTCGATATTTACAAATATAAGTTATTTTATTGTACTATAGAATGCACAAATGAAAATAATCATACATAATATCAATAATAATCATAAAGAAGAAGACAGGAACAAGAAAAACAACGAGAGCAGCAAAATTATCATCAAAGAATCAACACCACCAAAACCAACAACAAAATAACAACATCAACAACAGTAGTAGAAGGAAAGGCAGCAAAACAACACCCAACATCAACAACAAAATTAATGGCAAAAGCAGGAGCAAGAGCAGCAAATCACCAGCACAGTAACAAAAACGGCAGAACCAAAGTATCAAAGCAGAAACACCAACACTACCACCACCAACAACAACGACAACGGCAACGGCAGAAGCAACACCAACACCTTCAGGGAAAAAACCCAACAAAAATAACATAACAGCAGCAACGACAGAAGCAACAGCACCAAAACAGCAAGACCAACAATATTAACAACGACAACGACCGAAGCAACAGCAGCAAAGCAGCACAACCAACAACAGCAATAATGGGTAAATCAACCGCACTTACCACTCCCCAGGAACGCCGATCCAACTTTTGATTTGTTTTATTTGTTGAAAATGAAACGACATATCCGTTGCTAGGACCATTTCGATGACAAGACGACGCAGTTCCCTGAAAATAATTCATGACTCTTTAAATTTTTCCGGACATGAGGTTCAGGATTATTTTATCTATATTTTATGATGTCTGCATTTAAAGCCTCTTTTATAACTGGCATTACATCGTAATTAATTACGTAATTGGTTCGTGTGCACCATATTGGTACTGACCTGTTAATTATACAGAACTGTCTGCTTTTTTTAAATGATAAATTTGTATATGTATTCTTAATTAAACTAATGGAGTTTCTGATGTGATTCATGGTAGTATGTTGCCGTTACATTACTGCAACGACGTCATATATTCGATCAGAACTTGGACATTATGTTGACCCGGCTTCGTGTAGTGATTTCCTATTTATATTTATTTATCAATACTTCTAGTGGGAAGACTGTAAAAAAAATAGGACGGAAATACAACATTTTGTCTCCTTTAAAGGGAATAAAATCTGGGAAACAATGAATTGGTCATTTAAAATAATTTTGTAAGTTATCATCATGATAAGTTTTGGGGATTTACGACTTTTATACGAAAAGCAGCCTATGTTAAGTCCTATGCTGAAAATATTTTATGAAACCCTATTATTAATGGTAATTGGCAAGAAACATATTTTCTCGCATAATTTCGTATTCACAGCTCGCCTAATAAATGACTTAAATATAAAAAGTAAGCATCCCAAATTGAAATTGAATACCGTATTTCAATTTCATTAGCCTAGACAGACAATATATTTTCTCTTGAATATGTGTACACTGCAAATATTCGCTTAATTGACGTACAGTCAGATACGTATTGACTGATATTCCGACTGACGTAATAAATATGGTCAAATCAATATATAAAGTACACGACGTTTACTGCCACCATTATTATTAGCACGGTTTTAACTTGTCAGTGACGTTAATGGTGGTGGTGGTGGTGGAGATGATGGTGATGCTGATATAAATGATGATGATGGTTATAATATTATTGCTTATTATTATGATTATGGCGGTAATGGTGGTAGCTCTGGAGGTGATGATGATGGTAGTGGTGGTGGTAGTAATGATGATGATGGTGGCAGCAATAAAGGTGATCGTGATGACCATGATGACTCTGATCAAACATTGTCTGATAAGTCTGACAGACAAATCTCAAAATCATGCCCGCAAAATTTTAACTCAAGTCTTTCATCTATTTGTTAAAACATTAAGCCAATAATTATTAGGACGTGCACTGAGTTTAAGTACAAATAGTATGAACGTCACTCCAAAAATTGACAAGGTCATTTTATTCAACGTTTCGCTTAAATAAAATTGCCATGTCAGTTTTGGAGACATTTATACTATAAGCCAATAATAGTCACGTAAATGTGTATTTTTAACCATACTGGAGTATTCTGAAATGTTGACTGTCTTGAAAATCTAATGTAATAAAATAAGTTTGAAGAGTACAGAATCAAAATAGTCTACCTGAAATCGTCTCTTGAAAGATTAATTAGGATATTTTTATCTTTATCACGTAGTATCCGGAATGTACTACTAATGTGGTGGTTCTCCAACACTGCTCGATCGTTGTACAATAACGCTGCATTCGTACTGGGAAAAAAATGGAACACCTCTGTTCACAGATGCTAATTAAACTATAATAAATCTAGCTTCCAGTTCTCCACTGTGCATACAATCACACTCATAATACAAACACATTTTATATTATTTACGTCCACAGTGATTTGACTATTAAGGAAACATGCGTTTTAATTGAGTACCGTCACAAATTACGGTACTCCACTGTATAAACGATGAGGAGAATTGCATTAAACTTATAAATAACATGCTAGTGATATTTTGTTATAATTCACCAGCCGAGTTCCACTTATCCTATTCGTTTAGTCCTGATTCAAAGTAATAACAAACCCAGAATAAACGTCCATGGTTATTCAAACCCTGTTAGTGTCAGAATGTAGGCTAAATGATACCGGTAGACCAAAACATGGTGAAGATTCCCATTTTATTCTTCGTTATTGTCATTTCTGTAAGTCTTAAACCAAGTATCTCATCCCCGAAACATTGACGTGTGTGAAAATATCATAGCGATGGAATAAGATATGTGCCTATCTAGACATACCTTGCGTTGGCATGAAACGCATTTGATGTGCCAGTGTGTTCGTAATCATGAATTAAGGCCGCAAGCAATGCTGCTAGAATTTCCAAATCGCTCAACCAGTGCTGCAAACCCAATAAGAGAGAGATACAATTATTATATCAGAATGCATGTAATAAATGCGATGATTAGAGACTCGATTCTTGGATTACTAAACACACTTTCTAGATAGCTTTATTGACATTGTATTGATTCGTAATAAATATAAATATGATTGAAGACGAACAGTTTATAAAACGACAAGTACAACGAAATGCTAATCAATGAATACTATAGTATTATAGTATCTATTCTCATTTCGCTATCATCGTCTGCCTAAACCCAAAAGCTGTTTTATTATAATATTGTATTTCCATTGCACTCAATAGGAGAGTATAATTTCCACGTCTATATTCAGCTTCGTCTTGTAATTAATGCTTATTAGAATCTAAACATGCGGTCTATCGTTAAAAAATGTCTATAATGTATTTGGATTTTGACAGATCGATATTCTGTTTTTCACTTTACCACTAAGCCCATTTTTACAATGATGTGGTGCACAGTTTGAAGCACGTCTGCTGCATGGATATGGTTATGGTAAGGGTTCCTATATCTCTGGTAGCCGGCTTCCATGACGTCAAGAAAGGCATGTAAAGCTGATGATGGCATCTGTAATATAAATGAACATATTACAAATTTATAAAATATCCATGTAGGAAGAACATTCTTAATCATCACCATTATTATTATTATTATTATTATTATTAT